AACCCGTCTAATCGGCTTCAAAGGCTATTTTTTTGGCCGAGCCTACGGGCTCGGAGAAACCCACAATAAAACCGGCCTTGTGCCATATTCGTTTCCCGTGGGTGAAATGATAAATACCCAGAATGGTGTTGAGCGCGTCAGTCGAGATTCGGACATTTTAAGTACCAACCATCACAACTAGATTTGCTGCGTCATTGACTCTTATTTTCCAAGTTCCTAACATTTTGTACGTCGGACCTAATTTAGGACGACTTATTAAAAATACAAGCCTCCACTGTGAAAATACACCACAACAATAATCAATCCTGACTTGGCATCTCGACGTCACGTGGCTTCCCTATGTTTTTTCTACGAATATTTTCTTGGAAACTGCTCTGACGAGCTTTTTTTAACCTGATGCCCCGACCACATAGTAGACATGCTACTAGATTGGCATCTGGGTCCCACCTTTTTACTGTTGAATTAGTTAAACGCAACCGCCACTTCTACTTTAATAGTTGCACTTCCCGCCTGTGTAACTCCCTTCCGTTTACTTGCTTCCCCGATAACTACAACCATCAAAAATTTAAATACAACGTCAATCGCTATCTTGTATCTTCTTGAACTCCGTTCAGATTTCTTCTTTTCCTCTGTTCCCCTATACCCGATCTTTTCTCTCACCTACACTATCTCTGACCCCCTGCGTACTAATGGCATTCCCACCTTGCTTGGAAATGATTATATATATATATATATATATATATATATATATATATATATATATATATATATGGGTAGCAGCCTTTCATTCAAACATGTCTCGTTGTATATGACTGCCAAGGAAAAATTGATAAATTTTATTGAGTTCATCTACTATTCTTACAATTTTCCTATTGGTAGAAGTAAGGGAGTCTAACTTCTTTAGTCATTTTCAACGGGCTTCTTGCTAATTGTTGGTAATTGTGAGTGATCTTCGCCGGTCGTGAACGATCTATGCCGATCGTGAGCGATCGAGGCCGGTGGTGAACGACCTAGGTCGGTCGTGAAATATCTAGGTCGGTCGTGAGCGATCGATGCATGTCATGAACGATTTAGGTCAGTCATAAAAAAATCTAGGTTGATAGTGAACGATTGAGGCCGGTCGTGAACGATCTATGCCGATCGTGAGCGATCGAGGCCGGTGGTGAACGACCTAGGTCGGTCGTGAAATATCTAGGCCGGTCGTGAGCGATCGATGCATGTAATGAACGATTTAGGTCGGTCGTAAAAAAATCTAGGTTGATAGTGAATGATTAAGGCCGGTCGTGAACGATCTAGGCCGGCCGTGAGCAATCTAGGCCTGTTGCGCGCTATCTAGGCCGCCCCTGAACAATCTAGGAGTGGTGTGATGTATCTGTGTCGTGAACGATCGTCCGGTCGTGAATTATTTAAGAAAGAAAGAAAGAAGTGGAGGGAAAAGAAAGTGAACAATCTAGGAGGGGCGTGAGCTATACGTGTCGTGAACGATCGAGTGCGGTCGTGAACTATCTAGGCCGGTCGTGAACAATCTTGGCCGTGAGTGATTTCGCCCATTTGTGAACGATCCAAACCGGTCTTTAGCGAACGAGACCGGTCGTGAGCGATCGAGTTCGGTCGTGAGCGATCGAGACCAGTCGTGAAAGATTTAGGCAAGTCATAAGTGATCGAGGCTGGTGGTGAGCGACACCTAACTCGGTCGTAAAATGCCTAGGCCGTCGTGTGCGATCGATGACGGTCGTGAACGATCTAGGCATGTCGTGAACGATCTAAGCCGGTCATGAATAATCTGGCTCGATCTTGAATACTCTAGACCTGTTATGAACGATCTTGTTCAGTCGTAATCTAGGTAGGTCGTGAACTATCTAGGAAAGTCGTGAACAATTTGGACCGTTCGTGAGTAATCGAGGCCGTTTGTGAACGATCAAGGTCGGTCGCGAACTATCTAGGCTGGTCGTGAATGATCTCGCCCGGTCGTGAACGATCGAGGCGGGTCATGAGCTCTCTTAGCCGATCGTTAGTGATCGAGGCCGGTCGTAAATGATCTAGTTGTTATTAATTCTATTGTTTAAGAAAATAAAAAAACAAGGATTGCAACGCAAATACGCGTTCCCACTAAAATAACTTTTGTAGTAATAAGAAATAATATCGGATAGAAATTACATTTTAATATATATATATATATATATATATATATATATATATATATATATATATATATATATATATATATAATGCCTATGTATATATATATATAATGTATATACATATATATGTGTGTGTGTGTGTGTGTGTGTGTGTGTGTCAAGCTGAAGCTAGTTATCACTTCCAAAATTGACGCCGGTACTAGTAGTAACGCTTTCAAATAATATCCGCACTAGTAATACTTGTCCAAGTAGTAATCGCCAAATAGTATAATGATCAGAAGGGAATTGTAATCAGTATAGTAGCAGAGTAGAGAGTGAATGTATAGCAATAGTGGATTGACAAGAAGTGTAAACAATAATCATTACGCTACTTCGTATTTGTTCACTTCCTTTATGATCACGTGATCTACTTAATAATAGAATCGCCCGTGTTACCCACTAACGATCTAGTTTCAAACCACAGTGTCAGCAACGATACTTACTCTTATACAACAATATATATATATTCGGAACATACTTGTCGGCAACACTAATATAATAGCATCATCTACATGCAAAAAAAGGCTAAAAATAATGGAAGCCTTATTAATAAAAACAAACAAACCAACACTTAATAGTATTAACTTTGAACATAGACATAATATCTTGACCGTGTTTTGAAACAAAAAAAAATGAAAACATTTTATAAAACATACATACAGTAAACTATTTCTTATTTTAACAGTTAAAATATAATTCTTGAAAATGGCTAAATGTATAGCCGAAAGCGCTCGGATAAAAAGAACAGTTTTTATATAATTTATCATCCGAAAAGAAAAAAAATATTAGATCCTATGAGAAATTGTATAAAAAACTAACTAAAAGCACCTTGTCTGTCGTTTTAAATGAAATGAAATGAAAGAAAGATTGCTGCCTAAATGCACAAATATGTATATATATATATATATATATATATATATATATATATATATAAAAGAAAACAAAAAACATTGGTGGAACAACTTGCCAAAATCTAAAACTCTTAAGTGGATACAATTTTGAATACACGACGATATCGAAAAAAGAAAAAAGGAGAAAAGGCATGAAACCAAACTTACCTACTTAGTACTCGAACCTAGACTGCCTGGACCGAGCAAAAAAAAAAAAACGCCTACGAACATTAAATCCTATGAAAGGACGGCTCTAGTCGTAGCTCGTGTTTCACACTCAAACGATTTTCAGACGACTTGTGCAGTCCGGAAAAGTTGTAACGGGAGGAATTGATAGATATCAATGGAGTAGGTGGGTTTTTCAACATTGACATAAGTGATTAGCTAAAATACGAATAGAGGTACGTCGATGCGTATGCATGTAGCGTTTCTTGTGTTAAAACTGACAATATGAAGAAATGCGTGAGAGACAGAGAAAATGTAATTTCTGTGGTTCGGATTTTGTCTGCAGAGTTCCGACTTTTTTATTTACCGTTTAGCAGAAAAGAGAAAAATTGAATTGGAGTGAAAAATGAAAGTAGGTAAGATGGCGGGGAAAAAAAAGCGATGAAATGCTTGTGTCGAGGAAACCTCAATATCAAATGCAAAATCTTTCCATTCTTTAAAAGAAAGAAAGAAAGAAAGAAAGAAATGAAATGAAATAATACAAAAAAAACGAGCAATTTTTCCATTTTTACACAGAAAGAAACACTGAAAGGAAATAATACAAAAGGAACACCAAAAGAAAGAAAGAAAGAAACAAAGAAAGAAACAAACAAACAAACAAACAAACAAACAAACAAACAAACAAACAAACACTGAAGGAAAAGAATATAAAGGAAAAAAGGAAACAAACAAACAATAAATAAATCGGAAAAAAGGGGAAATAAATAAAATGTGAGAAAGAAAGAAAGAAAAAAAGAAATTAAATGAAATGAAATAATACAAAACGAGCAATTTTTCCATTTTTACACAGAAAGAAACACTGAAAGAAAATAATACAAAAAGAATACCAAAAGAAAGAAAGAAAGAAAGAAAGAAAGAAAGAAAGAAAGAAACAAACAAACAAACACTGAAGGAAAATAATACAAAGGGAGCAACAAAGAAAGAAACAAACAAACAATGAATAAATCGGGAAAAAAAGTTGAAATAAATAAAATGTGAGAAAGAAAGAAAGAAAGAAAGAAAGAAAGAAAGAAAGAAAGAAAGAAATAGGAAATAATACAACGAGCAATTTTTCCATTTTTACACAGAAACAAAGAAGCACTGAAAGGAAATAATACAAAAGGAACACCAAAAAAAGAAAGAAAGAAAGAAAGAAAGAAAAAAAAAAAGAAAGTAAAAAGAAAAAAAAAAGAAAGAAAGAAAGAAAGAAAAAAAGAAAGAAAGAAAGACTGTTGCAAAAGAAAACAGACAGAAACAAACAATAGACAAAAAAAAAAGGCAGTTTCAAAAAGAGAAAGAGAGAGGACAGACTAAATCTAGATGAGTACATGTAAAAATAAAAGAGGATAGACTTAAATAAAGGGGGGAAAACAACGGAAAATTTATACAGTCATGATAGAAGAAAGCATTTCAGTCATAAAAAAAAAGATGCATTGAAGGTATACTAAAAGATTAAGAGAGGGGCTGGGCGAGAAAGAAATTTTGAAATAAATAATAATAATAATAATAATAATAATAATAATAATAATAATAATAATGAAGGCGAAAGACAAAAATCTCATACTTAGGGGGAGAAAATGTTTTTGCACGCATCACTAAAATAAGACATGTCAGACGAAATAAGTGATTTGGAAATGAGATTCCATGTTTTTTATTCGCTTTTGTTGCTTTTAAAAACTTTTTTCTTTCCTCAAAATATGGTAAAAATGGGTTTTCAACCATATATCTAGAGGTAGATAGATAGATATAAATAGACCGAAATAGATAGATAGATAGTAAGAAAGAAAGATATAAATAGGCTGAAATATGGTATGAATAGACTGAGATAGATAGATAGATAGATAGATAGATAGATAGATAGATAGATAGATAGATAGATAGATAGATAGATAGTAAAAAGAAAGATATAAATAGGCTGAAATATGGTATGAATAGACTGAGATAGATAGATAGATAGATAGATAGATAGATAGATAGATAGATAGATAGATAAAGAACATACTGAGATAGATAGATATGAACAGACTGATTGATAGATAGATAGATATGAACAGACTGATAGATAGATAGATAGATAGATAGATAGATAGATAGATAGATAGATAGATAGATAGATAAAGAACAGACTGAGATAGATAGATAGATAGATAAAGAACAGACTGAGATAGATAGATATGAACAGACTGATAGATAGATAGATAGATAGATAGATAGATAGATAGATAGATAGATAGATAGATAGATATGAACAGACTGATAGATAGATTAAACAGATAACATTAATGATTTACATCAGTTTGTTTGGTAAAAAAATCTACGTAATGGATAAGAATGCTCAGTGTAGCTGTTTACAGAAAAAAAAATCCTTTAAAATATTTACAATATTTTCTCCGTGTCGTTTATTGCCGGTATGAATTATCTACGAAAATAGCTTCTTCCCTACCATACATCTGTATAGAGGACCGGATGAACAGAGACACAAAATAACGTACTAAAACACTCGCGCATATACACAAACGTACATGTTCTCTATGCAAAAAAAAAATGTAATATTGATATATAAATTAGAATAGAATATTTTAACGGATGTAGAAAAGCGTAAAAAAAGTTTGAAATCAGGATGAAAGCGTGCAGTGAAGGCAAAGATTTTCTTTGATGTGTTTTGTTCCTTCAGGACATGGGTGATCATTGGTCTCCACAATATGACAATTTATCATCCCTATTTGACTTTTACTCACTCAACCTCATTAGGTAGGTTACCCAAAACGGAATTAGAGATAGATAAACAAATGAAAATAAAAAAAAAGAATACGTGTAAGAAGAAAGAAAGAAAGAAAGAAAGAATGAAAGGACGAAAGAAAAAGAAAAGAAAAAAGAAAAATGGAAAAAAGGAAGAAGGGAAAAGAAAAAAGAAAAGTGGAAACAAAGAAAAGAGAAAGAAGTGAAAAGAAAAGAAGAAAAGTGAAGAAAGAAAGAAAGAAAGAAAGAAAGAAAGAAAGAAAGAAAGAAAGAAAGAAATGAAGGCTAGAAAGAAAGAAAGAAAGTGAAAAGAAAAGAAGAAAGAAAAGTGGAGTAAAAAAGAAAAAAGAAAGAAATAAAAAGAAAAAGCGGAGAAAAGAAAGAAAGAAAGAAGTGAAAAGAAAAGAAGAAAGAAAATTGGAGTAACAAAAGAAAAAAGAAAGAAATGAAAAGGAAAAGCGGACAAAAGAAAGAAAGAAAGAAAGAAAGAAAGAAAGAAGTGAAAAGAAAAGAAGAAAGAAAATTAGAGTAACAAAAAAAAAAAAAAAAAAAATGAAAAGAAAAAGTGGAGAAAAGAAAGAAAGAAAGAAAGAAAGAAAGAAAGAAAGAAAGCCTAGGTTAGCTTAAGAAAGTTCCCGCAAATGTCAGCCATAGAAAGTGATTTGCAGGAATTCCTAAACAACAAATGTCAACGAGAAGAAAGTACTAAGCATCACCTGTAAGAAGACAGAATGTATGGTTGTTGTTAGCAAACGAGATAGCCCAAGATGCAAGCTACACATTGGAGACGTCAAGCAAATACAAAAATTGAACTATCTAGTAAAAGTGACACCGAAATCCGAAGACGCATTGGGATAGTGAAGAATGCCTTCCAAAAGCTAAGCAAAGAATTAAAAAAAAAAAAGGGGAAAAATTTTGTTAGAAACATAGAAAAGAAGGCTGAACTTTTTTCTTTTCTCGAATTAACCCCAAGCAATACAGTAAAGCCCACGAGACACAAGCGGTTACAGGATGTGGAAGAGTTAGAAAAAAAGAACATTGCTAAGAAGCAAGAACATAGAAAGAGAAATTTGAAGGACAGTAGATAGCAATTGACATTTTATTTAATGTTGGCTGGAAAGCACGGAGCCGGAAGGGAGTTCCACAAGCAACAAGTGCGAGAAAAGAAACTGTTAGCATAGAACTTACAGTTGCATCTAGCCAACTCAAATGTAAATTGATGAGACCTAGTCACCAGTCTAGTACTGCGCTTAAATTTAAAAACTCTAGGTGCCATAAGGAAGAGCTCATAGGAACAATTACCATGAAAGTATTTATAGAAAGGGCAAAGGGAGGCAACCTTATGGCGGTGGGCAAATGGTTGAAGCCGAGACGCCAGATCCGGGCTAATAATCTTGCTTATTCTTCATTGGATTTTATCAAAGAGCTCTAGATAGATAGCAGGAGCACCCGGCCATATGTGGTAGTAATATTTTATGCAGGGACGAATGTGATATATATCAGTCCTACTACATAGAAGTGAATGCTGTACAATTTCCTCACAGATGAAGAGGCGGTGAGGCAACAGAGATGTAGTTCTACAGAATGATACTGAGGTTACCATTGGCGGAACATGTGAACGTAGAATTTTTTAAGCAAAATGAAAGCAAAAAGGATGTTGATACTTTGAATGAGAAAGAGACAGTTGAAATTTCTAGGACACATAATGTGGAAAGAGAACTTGGAGAATTCGACACGCACAAGACATCGAAAGCAAGACGGTCAAAGGCTAACAGCGAGTAACCTACTTAATAAAATTGTGGCATTGTACGTATGGTTTTGTGTTTGTATGTATATGTTCGTGCGTAAGTAGATTCGCACAAAATCTTGCATTGATATCAATATATATATTCTTCATTTGTACTGCATCTCTTTGATCTAAATCACACTTTTTCTGTTTTGCTAATGTCCCTTCCTTTTTTTCAAATAAGCAATTAGTTTCCACAAATTTGGGTGAATGTTAGTATAACTTCGCTAATTAAAATGTTTAAATCGAAGTAACAATAGTATAAACCAGATAACAAGATTCTTGGCATATTACAAAAAATGTGGCGAAATTGTCTTACGGTAAAAAGTTTTCCACGGCGAAAATTCCCGAGGCGAGTTTTCCTACGGTAAAAATGTTCTTACAATTGTTTTTTAGTTTCTGTTGCTACACGGAAATCACACTAATTGGAACATGAATAAGGAGGTGACGGCAGCATGAATGTTAAGATTGAAACACATTTTATTGATACTGAGTTGCTTTCTTTTATTTTTTTAGTTTAAAGGGTATTCAATATTTGTAATAGTGTTGAGGAGTCATCCCCTTTTTACACAATGGACTCACCCAGTATATACATATACTCCTGCTACGTGAAGACCCGAGAGAACAAGAGGAGGAGTGAAAGGTTGTAGGTAACCGGAAGAGTGAGAGTAAGGTGACAGACAGACCGAACGAACGTAGCCAGCAAGAGTCACAGTGAGCGAGCACGTAGACTCAGTAAGAAGTCATACAGCGATACTTCAATACCAAAGACTGTATATATATTTTTCTACTAACCCGTATTCCTGGAACTACTAACCTGCATTACCAGTTTGTATTATTACGTTAATACATTATTTTCCTATATTCATTCCTGGCGTTTGTTATTTACTTGTACCGGATTTCATCTCGGAATCCACAAAAAATAGTTTTCTCTTTTTTTACAGTGGTAGTGACAGAAAAAAAAAACTGTTGTATTGTCGATCAAATTCCGAGAGAAATTGAAAGGGTCTCCATGAATTTGTATTTTATATTTACATATTGCACTTAACTCAGAGAGATGACAGGTCAATATTCCCAGGAGAAATGTTGTGCCTCATATCCAGTACAAGGTGATTTTATTTTAATCTACAGAGACACAATACTCAGAACTTAACATATTTTTTGCTAAGGATTTTTCTCGTTTATGACAAGTGAGTTGACATCAACATTGAGGTTGTATAAGCAATCTGAGGCTATAGAACTATAAGTGCTTTGAGCTTTCATAAGCCGTTTATATATATATATATATATATATATATATATATATATATAGATATATAGATAGATAGATAGATAGATAATGATTGATACGAAATGCGCGAACAAAATATATAAGATGGAATTCGCGAAAAGCAGTTGGTTGTTTAACATTTTTCCTCTCACATTTTTGCATTCTTCGAGCATTTTCAGAACAACTAAAAAATTGTTGCCATGGCAACGCTACTACTCAGAAACGCTGATATATGGTATGACGTTTCAATTCGATTAATCAATAAAAAGGTTTGTTATACCATAAAGTTTACTAGGTAAGAAAATAAAGAAACTTGAATGAAGGTGGTCAAAAATCATTAATAAAATTATTAACTATAAATTTTAATTAAGTTACATACTTTCCTTAATATTAGGTTCTCCCTAAAGTTCGTAAACACGTGCAAAAAATTGAAATTTTACTCGCCAAGTAATAACAAAAACAACAAAAATTATTCCTCAAAATAAAGACCATCATTTTCCAAGACTTTCTGCCATCGATCTGCAAGCTTTCGGATCTGGTGAAAGTACCATTCAGCCGGCTTCGAATCAAAGAATTCTTGACACGCTTCCTCGACTTCATCATACGAGTCGAATCGGCGACCCTTCAGAAAGTGTTGCATTGAGCGGAAAAGGCCGTAATCTGATGGAACACAGTCAGGACTGTAGGCTGGATGTGGCAGAACCTCAACGCCGTCCAGCTCTTCAAACTTGTCTTTGGTCTTCCTGGCGGTGTGTGGCTTGGCATTGTCCTGCTGCATCAAAGCGCGCTTTCGGTTGATCAGAGCCGGGTACTTTTGCTTCAACTATTCATAGACCCGCTCCAGTTGCTGACAGTAAAGTTCGGCACTGATGGCACGACCATTCGAAACCAACTCAAAATGCACGATTCCTTCAAAGTTCCACCAAACGCACAATATGACTTTCTTGCCGAATCGATCTTGTTTTGGAACCGACGGTGTCTCTTGCCGTTTCTGAACCCATCGCTTGTCTCGATTCTGCTGGATTGTGTTGCATAAAAATTCAATTCTTCGCAAGTGTTTACGAACTTTTAGGATAACCTAATATTATCATGAATTTTAATTTGAATTACAAGCATTCATTATTTTCTTTGGATATAAGTGCTTTATTTTCTTACCATAACTTTATTTGTTTATTCTTATATCAAATTAAGGGAGGCACGGATTGAGGAACCCGAGAGCCGAGTTCGAATTCCAGTCGAATCCATTACATTCACTTACGTGCTATATATCCTTGGGAAAGGTATGAATCCTCTTCATCTGCCATAGCAGGTAAATAGCAGGACAGACCGGGTTTTATAGCCTTGGATGGCAACTGGTTTACTGCGGAAAGAAATGGTAATTGCAGATCTTATTAGGTGCTATAAGAGATTAACAACAATAATAACTAATAACAAAATAATTATCACATTATAAAGAGGTATGGTAGAGCATTGCGACCCGGATTGATGAATCGGAGATCCGAGTTCGAATTCCAGTCGAATCTATTACATTCACTTAAGTGCTAATACCTCTATGTAGGTGATCATAGCTATTCACAGCAACAAAAATGTCGTTACAGTTTCAAGGCATTCTAAAGGATTATTGTGGCCAGAAAAGGAGAGAAATAGAAATTTTGGGTTTAGTTTAGTTTTCTTCGATAAATGCTATATCTCTATAGGATGTAGATGATCCTGGCTGTTCACAGTAACCTTAGGAAAGGTATAAGGTAGCACTATTTACGAAAAATATATATAAGCGCAACACCAAACACTACTTCAACATCAGGTGTGGGAAACTGGAAAGGGAAGATAACATCGATAACATCACTGTGAGTGTGAGAAGAAAACCTCCCTTTGTGGCAAGTCATGGTCAGCACCTGAAAAACTTTCAAATTTTAGCGGTTTTCGGATTTGGATCTGTATATACCCTTAGGTTAATGTATGAATCCTCTTCTTCTCTCGCCAGCTATGGGTAAATAGCTGGACAAACCGGGTTCCATAGCGTTCGATGGCAACTGGTCAACAGCAGAAAGAAATGACAACCTACTGTTGCCTCCTCAGTCATGCATCGAAAGATACATTATCGCCTAAGCGTGTATCTCGTATGGCACCTAAATGACCTCAACACACGTAGTTACCCCCCCAAAAAAAATGGGATAGAAACACTATGAAAGTATAAATGTTTTTATAGTAAAAATAGTAATGGAGGCCCAGTGGAGTAATGGATAGCGACTCGGATTGAATATTGAGAATTCCAGTCGGATCCATTGCATTCACTTACGTGCTAATACTCTTGGGAAAGGTATGGATCCTCTTCTTCTCTCTCCCAGCTATGGGTAAATAGCAGGACAGACTGGGTTCTATAGCCTCAGATTGCAACTGGTCTACTGCAGAAAGAAATGGCCACCTACTGCGGGAAAAAATCTGCCTCGTTAGTCATGTATTGAAAGATATATAATCGCCTAAGCTTGTATCACGCATGGCACACAACTGATTGAATGATGTGCTAATACCCTTTGGAAAGGTATGATTCCTCTTCTTCTCCCCTCCAGCTATGAGTAAATAGCAGGACAGACCGAGTTCTATAGCCTTGGATGGCAACTGGTCTACCGCAGAAAAAATGGCAACCTGCTGTGGGAAAAAAATCTGCCTCGTTAGTCATGTATCGAAAGATACAAGATCGCCTAAGCGTGTATCACGCATGGCACATAACTGACTGACTGATATCAAATCATCATATTTATAATTTATTTATGGCTTCGCTTCGCAAAACGAAGATCACGGGGGAGTCTTGTGGCACATTTGTGACTCATAAGTCCAGTGCGAGACAGGTATACTCGGTCGAAGTAGTTGCAGCTAAACATCTGGTCTGGTCTCGATGGCATAGCATTGCAGTACTTCCGCCTCTGCCTCTTGTTCCTGAGAGCGGCCCTGGAGGTATTTTCAAAGACGGAGACAGTACGGTTGGGGGTGAGATACCAGTCAACAGATTCTCAGCTAGGGTGGACCATTGGCAATGGTTTATTTGAACATACTCCCTATGTTAAAACCTTACTGATTTATTATCTCACCTCCCTTCCCCCTCTCTCTCTCCCTCTCTCTACATATATAAATATATATATATATATATATATATATATATATATATTTTCCTTAATATATATATATATATATATATATAGGCTGAGAATCGATTATCCGGAATTCTTAGGAACGGAATTGCTTCGGTTTTCAGATTTTTTTCTCGGATTTTGAAATACAGGCTATTTAATTAGCATATAGCCCCTAAAAAATGGGGCATCTTGGGAATGGAACCCAAGCACATACACGATATCCCTTTACATACTCTGAAGGCAGTATTATATAAATAATATACAGTGTAACCCGGATATAAGAGAGTTGTCGGGACCGGAGAAGAAGTCTCTTATATCCGGGTTTCTCTTATATCCGGGTTTGGTCTATTTTATATACATTAACACAGGCTCTAATTTGGGACCAGAGAAAATCTCTTTTATATCCGGGTTTCTCTTATATCCGGGTCTCTTATATCCGGGTTACACTGTATATACTGAAAAATGTTGTGTACATGCAGATATAGGTATTGAGGCTAGTCATGTAATACTCTCATGCATGTTTAAGTGGTGATATTAAGATTTCCCGTAAAAATAATGTTTTGTCCTTTCTTTATGTGTACAAAAAAAAAAAAAAACATAATCACTATTTACAAAAAATATATAAGCGCAACACCAAACACTACTTCTAGTTCAGGTGTGAGAAACCGGAGCGGGGAGGTACATCTTCAATGACATCACTGTGAGTGTGAGAAGGAAAAAGTTTCTGTTTGTGGCAAGTCATCTCAGCATCTGAAAAACTTTCGGATTTTGGAGATTTTCGAATAAAGGATACTCAACCTATATATATATATATATATATATATATATATATATATATATATATATATATATATATATATATATATAGTGTGGTGCATAATTATAAAAGGAATCTGAATTTTATCTTCGGATAAAATAATATTTTCGGATTTTGAAGGTTTTCGGTTTTGGGAATTTCTGATAAAGGATACTCAATATATATATATATATATATATATATATATATATATATATATATATATATATATATATATATACAATTTTATCATAACTTAAACTGAATTTTATCTTTAAACTTTAATTATTGAGATAATTTTTAATATTTTGTATATTATTATATAGTATTAATAATTTGAAAGTTTAAACTAATTGTTGTGAGTAGATAATCAGTTATTGTAAAATTATTCATAAACTCGAAAAACGATTGGTGCATACCGATAAGGCCATTTTAAAAAAAAGTGCACTGCAGGTTAAAATAATTTAAATCAACAATCGCTTAAAATTTTCTAAATTATTATTAATAACTCACCATCATTTGCCTATAACAAAATTGACATAATGCTTTTGGGTACAAAATTAAGTGAATTTGAAAAAGGTCAAATAATTGCACTCAAAAATGAAAATTTTGAGTATTAGAGAAACTGCCGTTAGGATTAATCGTTCAAAAACGGTTATTAACAACATTTTATCAAAAAGGGAAGAATATGGCGCCAGGAAAAGAGCCGGAAGAAACAAGCAATTAAGTGACAGGAATATCATAGCGATCAAAAAAGAAGCAAGCAATGCCGTCACATCGTGTTCCAAGATCCAGGCAACTCTGGAATTAGGCGTTTCACGCTGGACGGTTTGGAGAGAACTTAACAGATCGTTTAAGTTCATTTATGGCAAGCTCCATGTTTGACCAAGCTCCATGTTTGACCAAGCTCCATGTTTGACCGAGCTCCATGTTTGACCAAGCTCCATGTTTGACCGAGCTCCATGGTTGACCGAGCTCCATGTTTGACCGAGCTCCATGTTTGACCAACCTCCATGTTTGACCAACCTCCATGTTTGACCAACCTCCATGTTTGTCCAAGCTCCATGTTTGACCAAACCATGTTTGACCGAGCTCCATGTTTGACCGAGCTCCATGTTTGACCAAGCTCCATGTTTGACCGAACTCCATGTTTGACCAAGCTCCATGTTTGACCGAGCTCCATGTTTGACCAAGCTCCATGTTTGACCAAGCTCCATATGTCAGAGTGCTTCAGCTTGTATGACTTGGGACAAGCAATCGGAAGGTGTGGCATTTTCCGATGAAAAAAAAAATTAATTTGGACAGTCCAGATAGGTAATCATATTATTGGCATGACCTTAGAAAAGAAAAGTTGGTCTTTTCCAATCGTGTGCAAAGAGGAGGGAGTGTTGTGATTTGGGCGGCTTTCGGATTCAAAGGCAAAATTCCAATTATTTTCATTGACACAAGATTTGATGCTTTGGATTATCAGAATTTGTTGTCTATTGCTCTCTTGTCTTATGGGGGAAAAAATGGTGGTCGAAATTGTTGGGTGTTTAAGCAAGACAACGCTCCTGTTCACAAAGCCAAGTCCACTATGGCGGGGTTTCTGGCTAACCGGATCAATGTTATGAACTGGACCGCCAGATCACCCGATCTCAACCCTACCGAGAACCTTTGTAGGGGTGGGGGGTGGATATTGGTTAGACGAGTATACAAGTATGGGCATCAATTTAATAGCGAGGAATAGCTCAAAAGAGACATTTTGAAAGCCTGGGGTTCAATTAACCAAAATGACACTCAGAAGTTAACCTATTCTATGAAAAATAGAGCATTTGAAGTAATAGCCAATCATGGAAAACAAACTAAATATTAATTTCCCTCATTTTTTAGTGTTTGTCACTTTTGTAATAATTATTTTAATGACCTTATAATTATGCACCAATCGATTTTCGAATTTTTTTTAATAATTTTACAATAAGTGATTTTGTACTGAGTAATTATTTGAAACTTTCAGATTATTAATATGCGTGGCGGTGATGACATAAAGGGCCCACGTGGGTTAAAATTTCCTGCTAGCCGGTCCAGCTACACGAGAAAATTGGACTTTAATTAAGCCCAAAGAAGACAAAGAAAACAAACAAGACCGATAATTTTATACAAACAAATATATGTATTAACAACAAGTACAAGTTACAGGCACATGGACAGTTACATTGAGTGCGTGTGGTGAATATTATGCGTGTGTGTTGTGGTGAGTGTTCGTACGTACGTGTATTGTTCGTAGCGTGTTCCCAGAATTTGGGAAACGCCGTATCTGTGAGAGCTCACATCTGTGAGGTGGTATAAGGCCCAAGGCCTGAGGAAAAAAGAGATCGAGGCAAAGGGTCACCCAGTATTTATATCCAGGGGAGAGAGACCCCTAGTGAAGGGTTAAGGAGCTGAGGAGGAGCTAACTCCGACAAATACTATATAATAATATACAAAATATTAAAAAATTAGCTCAATTGATAAAGTTTAAAGATAAAATTCAGCTAGCCGTATAATTATGCACCGTACTCTCTCTCTCCTTCTCTCTCTCTCTCTCTCTCTCTATATATATATATATATATATAGAAAACTAGACTCGTTTCGAAAAACCCTCGAATTTTTGATTTGCTAATCAAATCAATCTCGAGGAAAAAAAGGTTTTAAAAAATGAAAGAGCTACAAACATGGACTTCCGCCGACAAAAAAATCGCACAGATGCAGGTCTGAAGCCCAAAGAAAAAACCCCGATACGAGTAAACAACTAACTAACAAAAGAGCTCAATACAACCGTAGAGCAGACCTAGATACACCTAGGGAGCCAGACAAACCTACCTAGGTTTCACCTAAACGGATCGTCAGGGAAAGTCTGGCTAACGAGGCAAAGAGAAACACACATATTTATAGGTGATACCTAAAAAATCATACCACGTGACAAAATAAAAATAAAAAAAGTTAGCCAGACTTTCCCTGACGATCCGTTTAGATGAAACCCTAGGTAGGTTTTTTCTGGCTCACTAGGTGTATATATATATATATATATATATATATATATATATATATATATATATATATATAAACAGATAGATAGATAGATAGATAGATAGATAGATAGATAGATAGATAGATAGATAGATAGATGTCGGCAGTGTGAATAGGCTAGATTTTAAATTTGGATCATATACTCTCTTATTGTGTCTAAATGTCACCACAAATGTATCCCCACGTTTCGGGTGCCATTTTTTTTTAATTTTAGGTCAGCGAATCGGTACTGATTTCTGCAACTAACTCATATTTCTCTGTATCTCACTCATTTAAACCGTTGTTTAACTTCTCTCTTTAAAAGTTTTCTCTTTTAAATTTTAACCCCCACTTTTACCTTTAGGCCTTTCCTGTTCCTCTACTTCTTCCGTTACACCCCTCTCTAGAGCTTTCACACATTTCCCTCTCACTCTTGTTTCTCACTCCCACACATACATTCTCACTGATATTTTGTTTTTTTTATACCCGGAGTTATATTTTCCGATTTCTTTTTGAATTTGTAGTTCTGATGAATTGGATCATGTCTGCGATTCCAATGTAATAAATTAAGTTTTAAAAATTATCTATGAAGACCAACACCCTAAAAAATCCGGGACTACATTAATTCCTTTTTTCCCACATATATACAAACTACTCTTTCGATTTTAAAACTATTAAAAATTAAAATGGTTAAATTTATCCATCATAAATCATTGAAAAGAATTATTGAATCAGCTATGATGTTACGATTATATTTGATTAACCCCAAAATTAAGGTTTTATATAGGTAACTCCAAAGAAAAACGATACCTAAGTTTTATAATGCATTTTTTAAATTCTAAACTCTTTCTAAAAGCCTTTATTTTAGTTTCAAACTAATAGATTAAATTTAATATTTCCAATAAGCAAAATTTGCTGTTTCAAACTGAATTTAAATGGATTAAAATTCATTTTTATTAAATTAAATTTTTTATTAAATTGATTAGAATTAATTTTTTATTATTTTATTAAATTGATTAGAATTAAATTGTTATTATTAACAGTAAATCGGTCATATTGACAAATCTGTCACAACTTATTTCTCTTTATTTACATTATTCGGACTATTGTCCGAATTCTTTGTCGCTATATTTATTTCGGCCGTTGTACGCTCCGGCCTTCTTCAGGTGGTTGGAATGTCGAACTGAACCCATTATTTCGCTCGCTGGGGTAGACTGTTCTAGTTCCACGGATTATCAGTGAACTCCCGTTAATTCCCCTCTCCAAGTTCTCCACCGCCTTAACCGAGTATTGAACTCACACTCTTTGGGTCCTGTTACTGGATCTAACAAACGCCTTTATCCACTGTACCATGTGTCCTTGAGGACATCTGGGTATGAATGTCTGTGTATTATAAGCCTAATGTCTTCAGTAATCATTTTTTACAAGTGCTCATATTGCAATTTTTGCTGTTATCATTGCATATTTTTACCAGAGCTCATATTGCAATTTTTTTTTTGTTATTATCGCTTTTCTCTGTCACTCCTTATTGCTGGTTCCCATATTGTATTCATTTCTATGCTTGGTCGGCTCAGAAGACTTTTGTGGCCTAGCATATGTGCTAATTCCTTAAGTTTACGAATTTTCCAATGATGGTATTTGTCTATGACCCCAACCTGTTCCCAAAGAGGGCGGTGATCTCCCTTTTCTCTCCATATGTGGTCAGCCACGCCTGATTTTTCCACTTCCCCTCGTGTTACAGCTTTCTGGCGTTCTTGAAGCCTTACCTTAAGGGGGCAGCCTATCTCCCCTTTATATTTCTTTCCGCACGGGATATCTTACACACAGTCTTTAGTCATGTTCTCCTCTATTGTAACACTACTCACAATGGAAGGACCTTTTCGATTTCGAATAACTTAAACTAGGGCATATGTATTCGAGCGACTTGGCCGAACAATAAACATTATCCAGTGATGTATTCAGGACTGTTTTATCATTGTTGAAAATGTGAAACCTGTGAACAGACCCAGGATGTTTTTTTTTTAATGTCGCAGCACCGCCTTATATGGTAAACACACCTTGTTTGTTATCATATGAATTTCAGTTATTTTTCCTTGAAGGAAGTCCGTTTGAGGCTATATGCTGCTCTATTTTCCTATTTTAAATATAATAGTTAGAAAATACTAGAATGCTCAAAAATTAACAACGGTAATATATGTCTAGAAAACCAGAAGTCAAAATGGTTACAGATGAAACAAAAGAAGAAAAAGAGAAAAAAGTTAAGGTGCAGGTGTAAAGTCAAAAATACGATGAAAAGGACAAATAACTACGACATTCTACACGTACACACAGACTGGCGCATGGGTATACTCATGCGAATGCACACACACACAAATGATAGAATTTTGAGTAATTAGAATAATTAATATAGTAATTCATCGAATCTATAAGAATCTTCAACAGAATTTAGAAAGCATTGGGACTCAGCGGCAGTGCGCATCCACTGCCGAGAATCGAAACCGGACCGTTTTGATACAATGCAAACGTCATACCAACGGGCCTCGATGACGAAGAAGAAATTGAATGGACTCGATATGCGATGGAGCGGTTAAGGAGAAAGGAAAGAAGTTGCTCTTGTTATGAATACTTGGATGAATATTAGCAACGGCGACACACATTCTGTTCAGGGCGGCAACCACTCTAGCTAAGCCACAGATGAGATCTGAATGGACAAAATGTCGAAAAGACAAAGTATCGAACGAACAAAGTGCCGAACGGAAAATGAGTCGAACTGATTTAATTTTATATTTTATTTTTACCACAATTGTAAGTTTTCATAAATAAAGATTTTTAACACATTACTGTAGTTTGAATGCAGATCCTTGTTCAAAAAAAGTTAGCAATTATGTAGAAAGCTTTTTTTCATCGGAGGTTTTTATATTAGTTTAAAATTTTAAAATAATTATTTACCTGCAGGATACTTGCATATTTATGTCATATATAATCTATTGTCGTCACATTTCCGGCCTTTTGTCATTTAATCGGTACAAATCATTTTCCGTTCGATACTTAGTACGTCCGACATTTTGTCTATTCGATACTTTGTCCTTTCGACATTTTGTCCATTCGACACTTTGTCCATTCGACATTTTGTCCGTTCGACACATTGTTCATTCGACACATTGTGCGTTCGACACTTTGACCATGCGACATTTTGTCCGTTCGACACATTGTTCATTCGACACATTGTGCATTCGACACATTGTGCATTCGACATTTTGTTCGTTCGACACTTTGTCCGTTCGACATTTTCTCCGTTCGACACATTGTTCATTCGACACTTTGTTCGTTCGACACTTTGTCCATCCAAAATTTTGTCCGTCCGACACATTGTCCATTCGACATTTTGTCCGTTCGACACATTGTCTATTCGACACTTTTTTCGTTCGACACTTTGTCCGTTCAACAATTGTGTCCTTTTGACACATTGTTCATTCGACACTTTGTTTTTTCGATACTTTGTCCATTCGACATTTTGTCCGTTCGACACATTGTCCATTCGACACTTTGTTCGTTCGACACTTTGTCCATTCGACATTTTATCCGTTCGACACATTGTCCATTCGACACTTTGTTCGTTCGACACGTTGTCTATTCGGCACATTGTCCCTTCGTTAATTTTTTTCGGCACTTTTTCCTTCGACACTCTGACCTACTACCGTTTCGAATTCCTGTCATCTTTACTTTGTACATATCAATTCTATTTCTACCTCCCTGTCTTTTACGAACTCGCAAAATCTTTTCAATGATTGTACCGAGAATGAAGGAGATTTATTAATATTTTTTTAATTTCCTTCAGTATATACAATGTATTGAACTATATACAATGGCTGTCCATCTAATGGATGTTATTCTTCTATTTGGCATTGATAACAAAAGCCGACCCCGTAATACAGGGTGACCCAAAAATTTGACATAAATAATAACTTTACCAATTCTCGCTGAAATGATCTCAAATTTTAACAAAATGTTTAAAAACTGTGTTGACTGCGCGAACTGATCTCAATCAGATTCTACCATGAAGATGGAACGGGCATGTCAGTGATATTGACAATGTGCTGTTGAAATGGCCACCAGGTTCACTTTGTGATTTTTTTTCTATGGGGCTATGTGAAAGGACATGTCTATATACCCATTCTTCCTACAAGCCTAGAGGAAATTAAACAGAGAATCACTGAGGCGCTGGAGAATGTTACGCAAGACATGCTACAGCATGTTTGGCAGGAGCTGGACTACCGACTTGACGTTCGTCATATCACAGGTGGTGCGTATGTTGAACATTTGTTAAGCTTTGTGAAATCGGTAGTAAAATATGCATCCCTTTTAATAATTTGTTTGAATTTTGATAAATAAATATTTTATTGTTCATTATGAAGCCTATTTTAATTTCGTTTGCCTGGGACACGTAGTTATTCAAATATTCACATTTTAAATGATGTCAATCTGGGCACACTCTGTGTTTACTATCTGTTTCCAAAGCTATTACGCTGTGCTTCCAAACTGCGATATTAATATCAAGAATTTCTTTGATGTTGGTTTCCTGAAGACAGCATGCACCATTGTTTGACATCCCGGAACAATAATTCCTGCTTTTCATTTTTTTTTTTCCCATAAAATATCCTCCAGCAAAATTTCTACGGGCATTGAACGAATAAAATATACACACTGAACAACGACATTGATGGTAAAAAATTCCTCTCTTTGAAGAGCTTATTTGAAACAGCTCTGATGATTAAAAAGATGTTATTGACTTTTAATTTTTTTTTCAAATTAACCACTTTTTAATTTTTTCTAAATAGCGGGGTTGCCATGATAACAATTTTTCTTTAGATTATTTTTCAGTTGTTTTACGAATGCTTTTGACAACAAAATAAAACCAATTAAATATCCAACTAGTTTTCACGAATCCCATCTTATAAACTGTTATATACCTTACCTATGAACACTAATGTGTATGTCCAAATCTTCATAAATACGTAGGACACTATTGTAAGTGGGGGTAATATGCTGTCTAAGTAGTCCACCACTAGAAGTGGTTTACCTACTTCACGCCGCTGGCGAGTATTGTATTTTGTTGATGTTATAAAGATTACCATTTCATTTCCAACTTCCGTTTGAGTTGTTCTTCATTCAGGCTTTATTACTGTTGAAACTTGACTAATGCATGGAATAATAATGCAACACAAAATGTACTTAGAACAAAATGTATTGAAACAAGAAAGTGTACACAATATTTACATATAGTCTTTTTGTATATATTCCTGGTAAGACCGTTCCTGGAGAATGTGTTGACTGAGTCGCAGTCGGGCAGAGTCTCTGGTTGAATCTCTTGATTCCTCCCTCTTTCCCGGTACCAACCATATTTATATGGTCGGTACTCCATTATGCAAATTAGGTGGATCCTACCACAACAATTACAATGATAAATAATAATGATTCCTGTTGAGGGGTTCTCCCCTTTTTTACAAAAATAGACTCACCCAGTATATACATATACTACGGCTACGTGAAGACCCGACAGAACAAGACCGAGTGACAGAGTAAAAGGTTGTAGGTAACCGGAAGAGTGAGGTAACAGCGTTGTAGGAGTCACAGTAAGCGAGCACGTAGACTCAGTAAGAAGTCATACAGCAATACTTCAATACCAAAGACTGTATATATATATTGCTACTAACCCGTATTCCTGGAACTACTAACTTGCTTTACCAGTTTGTATTATTACGTTAATACATTATTTTCATATATTCATTCCTGGCGTTTGTTATTTATTGGTACCGGATTTCAACCCGGAATCCACAACAATTTCCTTATAATTGGGTCACATGTTTTAATAATTTAGCAAATGTTTATAAATTTATGAATAAAAAATTATTTTCATATTTATTTCTTTATAAATTGGTAAAAGATAAATATTGCATTGCATTAGTTTTAAATTATATTTATTTTTAGAATGTTGTAAATATAAAAATTATTCATTATGCTATTCTTTATTCTAGCTTGTCTTTGTTTTATTAACTAACATACCTATTTTGCATACTATATGAAGTACACGTGAACCTTTTCTTCTAATTTTTCTTCTTTTTTTAATAACTCTGCAATTTAATACTATTATTTTTTTTTCTTTGGAACGCATATATTTTTTGGTTTATTTTAGAAGATGTCGAAGAATTGATTTTGAAAATGTTGACACAAACGATAATGAAGTTTGATATCATTGTAAGAAGATCCAATCGACATTTGCATGAATGATTTTTTTACGCAGACGAAAGTTTGTACGTAAAAAGGATTTTGCTTCATACACAGAATGCATCCAGTTGTTTGGTTTGTTGTTTTTTTTTTTTTGTTTTTTTTTTTTTTTTTACCTTTTGCTGTTTTTTCCTTTCTTTTGTTTTTTTTTTTTTTTTACCTTTTTGCCTTGAATTTTGATTTTCTTCTTTTCTTTCTTTCTTTTTTGTTTCCTTTTCTTTTTGTCATTGTTTTCTTTCTTTCTTTCTTTCTTTCCTTTCTTTCCCCTCTTTCTTTCTTTTTGCCTCTTGAATTTCTTTCTTTTCTTTCTTTCTTTCTTTCTTTCTTTCTTTTTACCCGCTACTTAGACAATCTTTCTTCTCTAGTTCTTTTTTTCTTTCTTTCCTTTCTTTTTCTTTCTTTTTCTTCCTTTTTCTTTTGCTTTTGCTACTTAGACTTTTCTTTCTCTGACCATCTTTCTTTCTTTCTTTTTTTTTCTTTCTTTCTTTCTTTTCTTAGACCATCTTTCTTTCTTTCTTTCTTTCTTTATTTCTTTTTTTTTGTAAGTTTGTTTGTTTTATGCTGTTTTTTTTACTGCTTTTCTTTCCTTTTTTTTTGTTGTTTTTTTTATGTTTTTTTTACTGCTTTTCTTTTCCTTCTTTCTTTCTTGTTACCGCAAGGCGTTAATGTCACTAAGATGTAAGTGGTTACTGGGAGTGAAAGAGAATGAAAAAAAACTGTAGAAGGAACCAGAAACCCAATCCTAAACTGGAAGCAATTGTTAAACTTCGACTTCTGTTCGAAAAACAAAGAGTGGTGTGAACCGGGCGATAGACGAACCTATCTAAACCTATTGATACATATGATATCCATTAATGTTCGTTTTTGGGGTGTCCTCAGGTGATGTGGTTTCTGTTATTTGGTACAGTTTTTGTTTAGGATACTATCTACGAAGAAGGGTGATCTTTACCAAGACATTCAGACCTTGCTCCCTCAAAGTTTTTTTTCACCTATGATCTCAGAAAGCGGTTGTATAAAGCTGACAGTATAGATATTTTGCAGTTTGTCTCTCATGGACGACGCATTAAATGATGAATTTAAGGATGTCAGTCAGTTAAAGCTATTCAAATTTATTGACCCTATTTAAAAAAAAAAAATAATGATTTTTTTTCATTGTGTGCGTGTTTAGGAATTAATGCAAGTTGTTATTGACAGAAAGGGGATATGACAAATAACGTATACAAAATACAAAAATTGGAATTCTATACAATATATAAGAATTTATTGGAAGCTGATCATCAAAAGCGATGCTTTTTTTTGACTGCATAAAAAAGAGGAAAATTTAATAAAAGCAAAAATGACGTACGTGGACAAAAATCGTTGAAAATGGAAA